TTTGTTTGTTTTTGGCAGCTGGCCAGTACAGGGGACCAAGCCCTTGACCGTGGTGTTACAAAGCTATTCTCTAACCAACTGATCTAACTGGCCAGCCCAAAAAGTAGTTTCTTAATGGGCAGTTGCAGTATTGGATCTGAAGTCCTATCGATGATTTTTCAAAAATCCATTAGTCTGTATTGCACTTTGAATGTACCTTTTATTCCATGCATCAAAATCATTCATAAGACATTCACCTACCAAGTTACATAGATATTTCAGTTGTTGACACCATTTACTAAATAATATTAAAAATCCCATCATTAGTATCACCATAAAAATCTCACCAGAAAAGCCACTAAGTATTGAGCAGCTGTCAAGCTCATGATGGCAGATAAAAATTTCCTAAATTCTAATTTTCACTTGAAAATGAATTTTATCAGTGGCAACAAATACTGACAATTTCTTGCTTAAACAGATAGGATCTTTTTATTGATTTTAAAGAAAATGTCTGCCAAAACCCACTTCTGAATAACCCTAGTTCTTTCAAGTAAAAATGATATTCCGTGGGGAAAAAAAGTGGCTACTTTAGCTTTCAACTCAATCATACAATTGCTTTTCCTAGAGAAAAATGTCTTACTTCAGTATAAAGCAGCTTTATGAATATTTCCCATTTCTTCACAAAGAATATTAAAGAGAGGCATATAGAGTGTCATGATTTAATAAAATCAATAGTTTTACTGCTTCAAAAGGTCATTCTTACATAATGCTAGCTTTTAAAAAAATTACATGTGTGTAGTAATGAACACAGTAACTACTAGTACAGTCTGTTGCTACTGCCTTGATTATGCCAAGGCATCAGCAGTTTTACTTCTGATTGCTTCTGTACCATCAGTGCAAATATCTTCGTATTATTACGAAAATAGTTCTGGCTTTACAGACCCACAAAAGGGTCTCAAGAATCACAAGGTTTTGTAGATCACAGTTTGAAAACCACTGTGTTAAGACTGTGAAGGGTATGTGTGATGATCAAATCTCAGA